ATCCGTACTCATCAATACATTGGCTCAGCTCTTCACACGCTACCTGTCTGAATGCAAGGTTCCATCCCAATGGAAAACCAGCAGGACTGTACTACTGTACAAGAAGGGAGACATCCACGACATTGGCAACTATCGCCTAATCTGCCTATTGTCTGTCGTCTACAAACTGTTCACTCGAGTCATCCTGAATAGGATTAGCAGAACACTAGATGAAGGACAAACATGTGAACAAGCCGGATTCCGAAAAGGATTCAGTACCATCGACCATATCCACACGATTACTAAGCTCATTGAGGTTTCTCGGGAATTCAAGATGCCGCTCTGTCTAACGTTCATTGATTTAAAGAAGGTCTTTGATTCTGTTGAGACGGAAGCGGTCATGGAAGCCCTAGCCAATCAGGGCGTACAAACTCAATACATCAGAATCCTTCGTGAGCTCTATTGCGGATTCACCTCCAAGATCTCACCATTCTACAAAGAAGTGATCATCCATATCAAGAGAGGGGTTCGGCAGGGTGATACCATTTCACCAAAACTCTTCAGTGCCACCCTCGAGAACATCATGCGACGACTGGATTGGGAAAGCATGGGAGTTAAGATAGATGGTCGGCAACTACACCACCTCTGCTTTGCTGATGACATCGTTCTAATAACACCAAACATCAGCCAAGCGGCACAAATGCTGAACGACTATGACCGTGAATGTGGAAAGGTCGGACTACAGCTGAATCTTACGAAGACAATGTTTATGAGAAACAGCCTTGTTCCTGACGCTCCATTCGCTCTCAACGGAACCACCATCTCTGAATGCAACAGTTATATATACCTAGGTCGAGAAATCAACATGATGAATGACCTGGCATCTGAGTTGCGCAGGAGGAAGAGAGCGGCTTGGAATGCCTTCAAGAATGTTGAAGAAATAACTAAAAGGACAAAGAACCTCCAGCTACGAGCACATCTCTTTGATTCCACTGTTCTTCCTGCATTAACATATGCCTCAGAGACCTGGACCATACGAAAGCAGGATGAGAATGCTATTCGGGTCTCTCAAAGAGGAATCGAAAGAGCTATGCTTGGAATATCACGATTAACTCAAATGAGAGATAGAATCCGAAGTTCTGATCTTCGTCAACGCTCAAGAATCAGGGACACTGTCTCATTTGCCAAGACATCAAAAATCAGATGGGCTGAACACGTAATGAGGTTACAGACAACCGCTGGACTAGAGCCATTACTGATTGGATTCCACGGGACATGAAAAGATCACGTGGACGCCCACCTACAAGATGGTCAGACTTCTTCGTCAAGACCCTGAATGATCAGTTTGAGGCTCTGCATGTTCCTAGAACGAACAGATACCATTGGGCTACACTAGCATGCAACTGGAATGAATGGAGACGTTACTGGCACCCGCTCGAGTAAATCGATGAATAACGGGGATTAAGTGATTAAGTGAATATCCAATTCTAAAAGGCAATTGTAGCACTGTTTTCCCATTGTTCATCAATTTGCTCGAGTGGGCCCAGTAACGTCTCCATTGCGAGACTTGTTACTGTGTTTGGCATATCGAATACGTCACGGGGAGCTTGCCAGGCTCTGCCGTGCAGGCGAAATACTCTCAGTAGCTTGCTGGGCTCTCCGAGAGAGGCGGAGGGATCAAACCCAGCTCGGTCAGGCTGGCTGCATGCAAGGCAAATGCCCTACTGCTCTGCTATCGCTCCAGCCCCTAAAAGACAATAATACAGTCTTATTTTCTTTTGAAACTTTCAAAATAATTTAAAGAATATTAAGTGTTTAATATGAGAATAAATGTTGTGTTTTAAAATGTGGTTTCACTGGTGGTGGGATGTGTACTGGATCATTGTATAACTGAAACCCAAGCACAACAACTTGTAAGTCAACAACTGTACCTCATGATGTTTCACTAATAAAACAAATAAATAAATAAGTAAATAAAAGGTGGTTTCCAATAAGTTAAAGTTTATTATTTTAATTTTACATGTAATCATTATAATACATGTAAATAATTATGTAAATCATTATAATCCATGAGTAAGAGTATGTTTCCATTTTCTTGTGTCTTTATTCTTTTAGTATTCATTTACATTTCTTAATATAAAGCCTTTCACCTTTTTTGTGAAGCTCATTCCCAAGTACTTGGTTTTTTAGGCATGGATGTGAATGGTATAGTTTTTTTTTCTCTCTTTCCTCTATTACATTTTTTTTTGCATATAGAATTTTGCAAATAGAAATGTCATAGATTTTTTTTAATTTTATTGAATCACCGTGAGTTAGTTACAAGCTTTCATGTTTGGGTTACAATCAAAGAATGATCAATACCCATCCCTCCACCAGTGCACATTCCCCACCACCAATATCCCCAGTATACCCTTCCTTTCCTACCCTCGCCCTGACTCCATGGCAGATAATATTCCCCATACTCTCTCTTTGTCATAGATTTCTGAGTGTTGGTGTTTGTAGCCTGCCACTCTATGGTATAAGCTTGTTGTTTCTAGAAAGATCTACTGGGGGTCGTCTTTAGAGTTTTCTAAGTGTAGTATCGTGCCATCTCCAAATATGTTCTCTTTTCCAGCACAGATGTCTTTAGTATCTCTTTCTTATCTAGTATCTATGACAAGGACCTCCAATAATATACTGAGTCATAGTAGAAAAAGTAGACAACCTTCACTTGTACCTCATATGTAAAGGAAAGGCTTCTAATTTTCCACTTTTGACTCTGATCATAGCTATGGGTTCGTGTTAAATGGCTCTGACTATGTGGATGTTAGACTTTATCAGATTCTTTCTCTGAATCTATTAATATATTCATATTTTTTATTGTTCACTACATTAATATGGGGCTGGAGCAATAGCACAGCGGGTAAGGTTTACCTGGCTTACCTGGCCGACCCGAGTTCGATCCCTCCACCCCTCTCAGAGAGCCCCGCAAGCTGCCTAGAGTACCTTGCTCGCATGGCAAAGTCTGGCAAGCTCCCTGTGACGTATTTGATATGCCAAACACAGTAACAAGTCTCACAATGTTACTGGGCCCGCTCGAGCAAATCGATGAACAACGAGAGGACAGTGACATTAATATGATTTATTACATTGATTGTCTAGATATATTAAATAATCCTTAACAGAGCTAGGATAATTCATACTTGCTTACGGTATACTATTTTTTTCATGTATTGTTGGATTCAGTTTGCTAATATTTTCATAAGCATATTTGCGCCTATATTCATCAGGGTTACAGGTCTAGGTTTTCCTTATAGCTTTGCCTCTCTCAGCTTTTGGATCAGTGTAATTTTTGCCTCATTTCTGTGAGAAATATATATTCTTTGCCTATAGAAAATAGGCAAAGATTACACTTTGTAATCTTTGTTTGGGATGGTTTCTGTTTCCTTGACTTGCAGGAAGTCCCTGAAATGCTCTGGAAGTAGGTCTTCTTTAAAGATTTGGGAGAACTCACTAGTGAACCCATTTGGGGCTGGGATTTTTTTCAGGGAGAGACTTATTATTTCAATTTCCTTGATCATAATCTGTTGCTTAAGTTCTCTGAATACTTTTGCTTAAGCCATGGAGGGTTCTAAGAGTCAAAATTTTTTTTTATTCCATTCCTTCTAGGTTCTCGAGTTTCATGGCCTAAATATTTTCAGAGTAATTCCTAATGATCCTTTAGATTTTTTTTGGTATCTGTTGTGATAGCTTCTGATTCATTTATGTTTCATTTTAATATAATCTTCTCTTTTTTTGTGGTGGGGGGAATGTGACTTATGGCTTCTCAATCTTATTTATTCTTAAAAAAATCTTGATTTCATTATTTATTTTTAAATTCCACTTTTAGTTTCCATTTTATTAACTTTTTCTCTATTTTGTATAGTTTTTTCCTTCTAGTTGCTTTGAATTCCTCTTGTTGGTCATTTTCTAACTACTTACTCTTTGATATTAAGTTATTTAGAACTTTTTTGCATTGATATGAACTGGTCTGTTAGCACTAATTTGTCTGTGGTCCATGTATTATGGTAATCCAGAAATAGTTTGATTTGTTTTTTTATTTTTCTCTTTGAACCGCCGATTGTAAGATGTTTAATTTTCAAGGGTTTTGAGGGGGCTTTTCCCATTTCTGTTTGAGATCAATTTCCATTTTCAAAGCATCATGACAAGGGAAGATAGTTGATACAGTTTCTGTCATTGATTTTATGGCCATCTTCTCTGTGACCCAGCATGTGGTTTGCTTGGAGAATGTCCTCTGTTCACTGTTGAAGCATGTGTACTCAACTTTGGGGGGTTGAGGTAAAGGTAAAGGTAAAGGCCCTCCCGTTGATCATCGATTTGCTCAAGCGGGCCCAGTAACGTCTCCATTGGAGACTTTGTTGTTACTGTGTCTGGCATATCGAATACGTCACGGGGAGCTTGCCAGGCTCTGCCGTGCGGGTGAGATACTCTCGGTAGCTTGCCGGGCTCTCCGAGAGGGGCGGAGGGGGGGGTTGAGGAACCCTATATATTTATTCTTGTCTGATTTGTTTTTTCTTCACATCTAGTATTTCCTTGTTGAGTTTTTGCCTAGTTGGTATATCCTAGTGATGCCTAGTGGTGCCTAGTGATGTCATAGAAGTGTTCAGTTCTCTACTATTGTGTAACTGTCTATGTCTCCCTTCACGTCTAATTAGCAGTTGTTTTAAACATTCATATTTACAGAAAAACTGATTTAATAACCAAATCTGATGGATTTATACAGTTTCCCTCCTATTTTACTCATCTAGAAAATCCTGAGTATAATCTAGAATGTTAACTTTTTTTTTATTATATTCTACTCACATTGTAAAATGTAGAAAGCATGTTGTTTATAAAAGGTGCTACCATTATAGCATGTGGTTAGCAGTCTCTTTAGCAGTTTTGATTTTATATGGTGATTTTGAACTTACTTGCTTAAAAAAAGTGTTGAACCATTTCACAGGAAAGGTTGCACATTTGAGATGCTTTTGCTTGGTTTTCAGGACCAGTGGTTTTGGCGAGTAAGAAACAACAGGGTGATGGATGGATACCCCATGCAAATTACTTACTTCTGGAGGGGTTTGCCTCCTAGTATAGATGCAGTTTATGAAAACAGCGATGGGAATTTTGTCTTCTTTAAAGGTAAGCAATCCTTCCCATGCCTTGTTTTGTTGTATTTTGGTAATTTTTGTTTTGAAATCCAAAAAGCATAGAGATATATAAGTAAAAACTATTGGTTGAGGTCTGGCAAGTAACACATTTAACGAAATAAAACCTGACTTTTGGACATGAAAATAAAATGAAAATCAAAGATATTTTTAGTTCACTAATTCATGTTTTTTTCATGGAATGTTCTCAAATAAAATATATTTATCAGAGGTTTGTTACTCTCAAAGTTTTAGATATGTCTTAAGCGAAATAAATAAAACGTTCAATAAATAAATTGAAAACATTTTCTGATGTACTAAGAGTTTATTTTGTTTTCTTTGAGTATTTTAGTTGCTGCTTTTATTCAATGAGATGTTTCATTTCTTGTTTTCAGAGAAGTCTCTGAAACATTACTTATTTTAGTTAGTTTCTGTTAAATAAAGTAAGCTAAGGAATTCATCATAAAGACATGGAATATTTATGAATAGAAATAACTTGCCTTATTAACTTCACTAAATAAAATGTGTAAGACTTATGAGTGTCAAATTTAAACTGGACAAAAACTAATTGCCTGACGTGGTAAAGTGTGAATACTTTGAAAATGACTTATTCCAAGAGCCAGAGCAACAGTACAGTGTGTAGGACATTTGTCTTCCATGCATCTGACCTGGGTTTGATCCCAGCCACCATATGTTTCCTGGAGTCCCTCCAGGCATGATCCCTGAGTGCAGTGCCAGGAGTAAGCCTTGAGTACTGCCAGTCGTGACTAAAAAATAATAACTATAACAATAACAAGAAAATAACTAAGTAAACTGTCTTAGGCATATATTTGGTACTCTACTCTCAAAACTTGTTGAAATTTAAAATGATGAATTATAAGTCTGTAGGAGAAAGAGAAAAGGGGAAAAAAACTGATTTGAAGAACTAATTGTAAGGAGAGCATATGTGAGCAAAATGAATATAGTTGTACTTATTATCCAGGATCGCAAAGCACTATAATTAAAACAGGGTCAAAAGTTGAGGAAGAAAGTAGTGTGGGTGGGACCGGAGCGATAGTACAGCGGGTAGGGCATTTGCCTTGCACATGGATGACCCAGGTTCAATCCCTGGCATCTCTTATGGTCCCCCAAGAACTTCCAGGAGTAATTCCTGAGTGCATAACCAGGAACAACCCCTGAGCATCACTGGGTGTGATCCAAAAAGAAAAAAAATGTTGGGAGGGTATCTTAATATAGTGAAATGCAGTTCTTCTCCTGCTTAAATTAAAACAATTCATAGTAATAACGAGGGCAATATTTTAGGTGGAGTTTAAGAAATATTTTTAACATTCAAAGGGTGTTCCAGACTACCCATGTACCTGAAAGTTATTTTACATATAGTGCTTATTTCTTGAGAACTGGTAAGACAACAGCACAATGGGCTAGAGCATATGTGTCTCATGTGGGAACCCCAGTTTGGTTCCCAGCATAATATAACCATATACCCCTGAGGTCTATAAAGTGTGGCTTCCAATAAAATATAGATTGCTTCTGGGACCAGAGTCATAGTACAACAGGGAAAGTGTTTGCATTGTAAGTGGCCGACCCAAATCCAAAATCTAACATGGCATATGGTTCCCTGAACCTTGCCAGGGGTGATCCCTGAATGTAGAGCCAGGAGTATGCTCTGAGCGCCATTGGGTATGGTCCAAAAAACAAAAAAATTCATCTGTACATGTGTATATATTGCATCTTCAGAAAGGAAGAGATATAATGCATTGGGTATGTTGAAAAATTAAAATTCATCTGAGTATATTTTGAGATGTAACTGGACTAGCCCTGAGGTAGACCATTCAGCTTGAGCGCTCTCCTAGACCAGCATGTCCTTCCACAATCAGTGGAGCTCTCTGTTAAAACACCTACAGAGTGTTATTTCTTCCTGCTGTACATATCTCTTGATGAATAGAAAATGTCCTTCACTGTCCCATCTAATTGGGAGGATCCTCCCAAGATGGGAGATGCATGCTGAAAATAGACTATAGACCGAACATGATTGCCTTTCAATGCCTCTTTTGCAAACCACAACACCCAAAAGGAGAGAGAGAACAAAAGGGAATGCCCTGCCACAAAAGCATGGTGGGATGGGGGGATGAGAGGTGGGAGGGGTACTGGGACTGGTGGTAGTGGAAAATGGGCACTGGTGGAGGGATGGGTACTCGATCATTGTATAATTGAAACCCAAGCACAAAAATTTGTAAGCCTACAACTGTACCTCAAGGTGTTTCACTAATAATAAAATAAAACCTTACAGAAAATATGTGATGCATGTATGTGTTTTCCCCTCACTCAAATATTCTGTTTTTATTTCAATGTCTTATTAATGTGTTACTACTTTGTTATTTTTTAAAATTCACAGTATAAAACTATGTGACCTACAGTAAATGCTGTATGAAGTAAATGTCCTATCATGTAGTCAAATAGCCACTTATTACAAATTGCTTTGAAACTGTGATTAAACGACTCACCAAACTTAATTGGAAAAAAAAATAATAAAAAAAAATAAAAACACCTACAAAGAAGTTCTGAAGTCCAAAGTCAGATTTTCGATAGCTTTTTACTATGTCTTATTTTAACTCATTGGCTGTTTTACTGTTTTGACAGTTTCTACTAAAATTCATCTCTTTAGGGTTTTATCACCTATAAAAGATAATCAGATTATTTCTCATCCTCAAATTGTCTTTCCCAGTTTTCTCTGTTGTTCATGAACCAACTTATACTTTGTCTCTAGCAGTTCAATTCCCCTTCCTTGCTTTAACAGTCTTCAGTCAATCTAAAAACTATTTCACTTATGTATTTCTCATCTGTATCTTTCCCATCAGAGATTACAGAGATTACAGAGATTCCATCAAAGTAAGATTATCTCTCTTTCTCTCTCTCTTTCTCTCTCTTCCTCTCTCTTCTACCCACCTTTCTCCCACATCGCCCCAATCTTTCTCTTTCTCTAGCTGAGTATATGATACCATTTCTTTATTCACCTACTTGTCACTGAGCATTTGGGTTGTTTCTGTATCTTGGATATTGTAAGTAACTCTGCAATGAACATAAGTATTTTTTCAAATTTTTGTTTTTGTGGTTTTGAATAGATACCTAGAAGTAGAATTACCTTTCTGCAATTTATTTTCTCTTTTCTTTACAGATAGTCTTTCTCATGTTCTTTATCTGTTCTATACAATAATACTTATTCTTTTCCCAAATTCACTGAAGTGTATGTTGAGATAAAAATTATTAGCCATTTAATTTTCTAAAAGTACTTAGAGTTGCTTGCATCCTGTATGAGAATTTAAAGGTTTGGGTTTGAATGCATCGTCAATACTTATTTATAAAATAAGTATATTGTTTTGTTGATATAAAGTAATCATATCATATTGAAATAAACTTTTACAAATATTCCAAGAATTCATATTTTCATTTTGTTACCATTTACCTATGATTTTAACTATGGGCAGAATTTTATAATCTGAAGTAATAATATAAGCATTAAGCACAAAAATGTTGTTATGTGAATGTAAGGAAGAAAAATAAATGCATAAATGTATATTTTCCATAGATTAGGTAACTCACTATATTAACAGTGCCAATTCTCAAAGCGTTTATGTTAAAATCTCAAGAAAAATTGTGAAAGGCTCTGTTAGTAGAAACGCCAAGCTGATTGAAGTTACAAGTGTGAGTTTAAGAGAGCTAGAATTTTCTTAAAAATATAGAATTGAGAGTCTAGAGAGATAGAACAAGGCTTAAGCCCCTGGTCTTGCATGTGGCTAACCCAGTTTGATTCACAAGTTCCCCAAGCATGCCACTGAAATAAGCACTGAATAGAGAGACAGACAGGAGTAACCCCTGAATGTCACCTGGGTGTGTGGCCCAATTCCTCCATCCACAATACATACATACATTCGTTTGATCATTCTATTTATTTCAATTATTATTTTAAAGATACAGTAATTAAGACAGTGTAACATTGTCATAAAGATAGAAAAAAGATGAGAACCATAGAACCAAATAGAGACTGGAGATAAACTAAATATAGATGTCCATGTAAATATTGTCAAAGATACAAAGATATTTGGTGGAGAAAAAATAACCCTGTCAACAAATGGTGCTGGATTCATGACACAAGCATATGCGTAATAATAATTTTGGTGAACACATTGCATCATAAATAAAATTTAATTTTAGATACTCTCTTTTTTCAATTGAATCACAGTGAGATACACAGAGATATGCAGGTTCAAAGTTGTTCATGATTGGGTATTATTGCATGAATATTCTTCCAGTCAGTGGCACAGAGACAAGACATGTGAGAGCACAGAGGACCAAAGCATCGATCTGGCTCAAGGCAAAAAGCGACGGCCAGTGGTCTCTTTTTATTCTATTTTCATCAGTTACATCCTAATGACTTCATCACAGAGAAAGAATCTCTCACGAGAGTACAGACATTTGTAGGATAAGCATTCGTCAAAAGAACAACAAGGGTATACATTGTCTTTCAAAGCTATGCTGTCAAAGCTATGTTGTCATGATTAGAACATCAGAGGAAGATATGGAACAGGACACGTAGGGTCTACAGATTATGTCTCCCACATTCTTGTGATCCGTTACACATAGAGCAAAGAGAAGGCTCACACTGAAACTTGAAGATCAAACCAGATTAGGATGTGTCTGAGAGGGGGAAACTTTTGCCATGTACTGCCAAGATAATGTATGACCAGGCAGGCATATGAAAGCATGCTGTACTTTTCCAGATCATTGGATTTACAAATTTTAGCTTGTACACTTAATGTGAAAGTGGGGTCTCGGTTCTGCTTCCTGCTTGCAGGGCAGTGTCCAGAGGCTCATCGTAATGTCCTGGTTTAGCACCAACAGGATTTCAGTCATATAATGTTCCAACAGCGGTCCTTTCACTGGTGTACACTTTCCACCTTGAATGTCACCAGTTTTTTTTTCCTGCCTTCTCCACTC